TTATCTCAACTAAACCTAATTAGAAACTAATTAGGTTTAGTTGAGAAGTTTAGAAATCTCAGCTACTAAACCTAATTAGAAACTAATTAGGTTTAGTTGAGAAGTTTAGAAATCTCAGCTAAGGTCTCGGCTGCTTTCAGGTGGAAGGGTCGCTGAAACTTAGGAATTAGAATCCCCATTTGCTGCATATTAACGATCATTCAATAATTTTGCGCTGCGTTGAGTGTGCACAGCGAAAGGTGCTCAGTGGGCACACGGGGCAAGGGACCCACGGGACACCACCGCCTGCAAGACACCGCACGCCCATGGAAACGAGCATTAATCAACGCTAGTCTGCCCTCCGAATCCCCAATGCAACTGCACTGCTACCGCCACTTGGTGGCAATGGCAGATGAGGACTCTAGCAACGAACCACGCCCTGATTGGTGTTTGTTGCAGATGAGCAGCACCAACCAAATTGCGGCCAGCTACTCAGCACATGCTGACGTGCACGTCAGCAGCCCCAGGCCACCTACCTACATAGCGCCTACATAGCAAGTAGCAAGCCCCTAAACGCTCCAAAGAACACAGCGATTGGCAAACTGCCGAACTGCACACCATGATACCAGGCACCACATGCCAGTCGGTGTACCCCGCTGCCCATTACGTAATGGGCAGGTATACCTTCCCCCGGGGAAGGTATACCTTCCCCCGCGAAACTGCATACGCGTGCTGAAAAGCCAGTGCATGAAACACCTGGAAGCGTAGCAAACAACACGGACCACGTCTAACATTTTAGCGGACCAAGCCCTGACAAGCTAACAACACCGTCACACACCGCAGACCCGAGAACTGTGAGGCCTGAGTGCGCAGGGTGGGGCAAAACGTGCAGGCCAGCTTCACTGCGCTGTTTACCAGCACAACATTGAAGAAAGCCCACCAGGAAGCATGGCTATTTCGCTTGCTGTCTTTCAGCTTCTCGTAAAATTCCTTGGCCGAGTACTCCTTGCCATTGTAGGTGTAAGTATCCTTGCTGGACTCGTGCTTGCCCTTCGGCGGCTTGCCAGAGGCTTCACCGACGTCAGCCATTGGGAATGTAACTCAGTAACTATTCGATGAGTCCTCAGACAGCTTCACCTAAAGTTTCTCAGGACCACCTAAGGTCTCTGCTAAGGTTTCGGAGCTGCCGTACATCTAAGGCGCCAAAAAAGGCCATCTAATATCTATAGATATTAGCTAGGTTTATTTTCTAAAGGTTCTCATATAAGTTAAGAAGTTTAGTCTTAGATGACTTCCAACCCTACTCCTGAACCACCTTGCCACCGGAGGGTACCCTCCTGTACCACCCTGCCACCGGAGGATACCCTCCTGTACCACCTTGCCACCGGAGGGTACCCTCCTGTACCACCTTGCCACCGGAGGGTACCCTCCTGTACCACCTTGCCACCGGAGGGTACCCTCCTGTACCACCCTGCCACCGGAGGATACCCTCCTGTACCACCCTGCCACTGGAGGGTACCCTCCTGTACCACCTTGCCACCGGAGGGTACCCTCCTGTACCACCTTGCCACCGGAGGGTACCCTCCTGTACCACCCTGCCACCGGAGGATACCCTCCTGTACCACCCTGCCACTGGAGGGTACCCTCCTGTACCACCCTGCCACCGAAGGATACCCTCCTGTACCACCCTGCCACCGGAGGGTACCCTCCTGTACCACCTTGCCACTGGAGGGTACCCTCCTGTACCACCCTGCCACCGGAGGGTACCCTCCTGTACCATCCTGCCACCGGAGGATACCCTCCTGTACCACCCTGCCACCGGAGGGTACCCTCCTGTACCACCTTGCCACCGGAGAGTACCCTCCTGTACCACCTTGCCACTGGAGAGTACCCTCCTGTACCACCCTGCCACCGGAGGATACCCTCCTGTACCACCCTGCCACCGGAGGGTACCCTCCTGTACCACCTTGCCACTGGAGAGTACCCTCCTGTACCACCTTGCCACTGGAGGATACCCTCCTGTACCACCTTGCCACCCGAGAGTACCCTCCTGTACCACCCTGCCACCGGAGAGTACCCTCCTGTACCACCCTGCCACCGGAGAGTACCCTCCTGTACCGGGCTTCTGCTTCCGGGCATACCCTTCCAGAAGGGGTAAAAGAATGCCTAGTTAAGCCCCCCTCTCCATTTTTGGCCCATAACCTTTCTGGTAGCCATCAAACAGGTCCTTTTGAAATCACCAACTGATGTAGTTTTCAGAGTACCCTCCTGTACCACCCTGCCACCAGAGAGTACCCTCTTGTACCACTCTGCCACCGGAGAGTATCCTCCTGTACATGTACCACCTTGCCTCCGGAGGGTACCCTCCTGTACCACCCTGCCACCGGAGAGTACCCTCCTGTACCACCTTGCCACCGGAGGGTACCCTCCTGTACCACCCTGCCATCGGAGGGTACCCTCCTGTACCACCTTGCCACCGGAGGGTACCCTCCTGTACCACCCTGCCACCGGAGGGTACCCTCCAGTACCACCTTGCCACTGGAGGGTACCCTCCTGTACCACCCTGCCACCGGAGGGTACCCTCCAGTACCACCCTGCCACCGGAGGGTACCCTCCTGTACCACCTTGCCACCGGAGGGTACCCTCCTGTATCACCTTGCCACCGGAGGGTACCCTCCTGTACCACCCTGCCATCGGAGGATACCCTCCTGTACCACCTTGCCACCGGAGGGTACCCTCCTGTACCACCTTGCCACCAGAGGATACCCTCCTGTACCAACCTGCCACCGGAGGATACACCGACAGTATCCTAGCACGGCAGGAACGTAGTATGGAATCTCCGGCAGGTAGGCCGAGATGTAAGCTACCTGGGCGGGGTGCCATGGTGAGGCACTTAAGTATCATGACTACTTGGTGTTCAGAGTTCAAGACTCCGCTGCCGCTGTCTCGGATTGTTTCGTACGGGTCTATGTATGCTAGTGCTTGTTGCTGGGTTGGACTTCTCCCTGCCTCAGCGAGGACTCTAAATTCCACGCTTCCGCAAAGCCAGTAGTCCGCCCAGGTGAGCGACTGCTACAGTTTCAGTAGCCCCAAACTCTTCTTGTGGGGGCTTGTAGAAAACACATGAGTCTGCCAGCCTCTCCATGGCAAGCAAGGATGCTTCCATTTGGATTCAGCTAAACATGGCAGTGGCCTCGGGGCGCCTCTTGTTTTTCATGCAGCTGCAGCAGCCAGGGATGGTGTTGGGCAGTGGGCTGCAGCAGGTATGTGGCCATGTCAGGCTGCACGCCAGGTTTTTGTACAGGGGCCAGGGCTGATAGCTGAGTTGCTGAACAGGTGTTGAGTTGTTTGTCGTACACGCACATATGTTCGTGTACGGCACTTGGCGCAGCTCATAGTATACGCACACGTTTTAGAATAGATACAGAACCTTTGGATGCTGTGACAACAATTTAAGTTGAGGTGTCGTTTATAGTCGTAGTCCCGACGTTAGACGGACGACGTTTAGTCGTTCCGTCGTCGGGACGGAGACCTTACCCCAACTTTCTGTCTGTCCGTCCGTCCGTCCGGGTGGCCGCTTGCTGTTTTCGCGTTTTTTGGGGTGTCGTCCGCGGTTTCGGAGCCGCGCCTTTTAGGCTAGCTCCGTCGCCGCGTGGGAGCCGCGGTCGCCGGTTCGCGCCCCGCCGTCGCCGGTTTTTTCGTCTTCTTCCTTCGTTCGGTTCGGCGCCCCGCGCCGCACCGCACCACACCTGGCCCCGCGGAAGGCGCCCTGGAGCATGGCCGTGTGCCGCTTCGTCGGGCCCGCTAGCTCCGATGTCTTGTGGGAGCCGCGGTCGCCGGTTCGACCCCGGCGCCGGCGCGTCGTTGTGTCCTTTTTTATGTTGCTTCGTCGCTCGGCGCCCGCACGCTTCTTTCTTATATTTTCTTATATTTTCGGACCGTGCACAGTGCAATGCGCGCCGCACCGAATTGACACGCAAGCGCACCGAGTTGTTGTTGATTGTTAATTGTAATTCGATACACAAGCGCGCCGAACCACGCAAATTAACATTTAACATGTACCCAGCCGTGCAATTGAACCTGCATTTTGGCGCGTGATTCCTTTAGAATACACCGAAACGCGCAATTAAACACGCAATTTGGGGGATCCTCAG